CCGCGGGGGAGCGTGGGGTAACGCGGGCCGGAGACACCCACTCGGGGGACTGTCGGGTCTCGGGCCGTGGGACCAGCGTGCCAGGCAGGGGTTCACGGCAGGTGCTCTGGTAGGCTTGGGGCCATGAGGGCTGGCGACACGGACCCGTGGGGTCTGGCAGGCCTGGGATCACCGGCAGCCGGGGTGCCCACCTGGGGGGAGCATGGGGGCCTGGGGCACGAGGGACCTGGTAAGGCGTGGACATCCAGACAGGCATGGGGGTCTGGGTCTAATGGGACTGGGGGCACCTGACCAAAGGCATGCCTCTAGGGCTGATGACAGTGTAAATCTGTGGCCTACAGCCACAGTAGATGCTGGCTGGGGCTGGAGTCCTGACAGAAGCAGGAGGTTGTGGGGGACCTAGAGAAGGGAGTTGAGACAGGCATTGGCAGGGGCTGGGAGGCTTGAGGATGTTAGGGGGGTCCTTTGTTGGGGTGAGATCAGCCTGCCTGGAATTGATTCTGTCAAGGTGTGGAAGACGTGATGGAGGGTTGGGTGCTTAGGAGGGCTGGGAAGCAGGACGGCAGTGGCCTGCTTGGCCTGAGGAGGGAAGGAGCAATGGAGGAGCCCGATGAGGATGGAGAACAGTGTTCAGGGATTGACTGTGGAAAGTGGGAGCATCTGTGACTGTGAAGGGACACTGGACAATCCAGCCAAGGTGGGAGGGGGCCACCCTGGGGCTTAGATCCTGGCTACAGCAGTCGAGGGAGCTATAGGAGAGCTTGCAGACGTGGAAGGGCCAGTTGTTGATAAACAGCCTTAAAAGGGAAGTTCAGTCATGGCAGAGAATGCCTGGATGAAGGGGATGGGAGTTCTGGGGTGGACAGGACTGAGGCTCAGTGCTTCGGGGCTGAAAGAAACCTGCCAGTTAGGTGGGGTGAACTGTCTAGTGAGTCCCTGGGAAAACCCAATCAAGGTTGGCAGGCTAGTGTAATTTGCTGGGATGTCGTGTGCTGTGGGGGTTTCTGTGAGGGGCTGGGGAGGTGAGGGACAGTCTGGGCTGAAAAGAAGAGATGAGAATACACTGTTGGAAGGGCTGGAAGCAGAGTTCTGATGTTGATGAAAGACGACCCAGGGAGGAGATGTGTTCAATGGAAGAAATGAATTGTTTGAGAGGGAGCAGTGTGGACTGAATGAAGAAATTGGGGTCTTGAGTGTAGTGAAGGATCTGGTTATGGTGGAGGGCAATGCTGGGAGACAGGTAGGGTGTAGTGAGGGTTTAGTGTAGGCTGAATTGAGGTTGGGATAAGGTTGGATGATGGACTGGGGTGCTAGAAACAACTTGGGTTTAGATGCTGGAGTTGTTGGGGTGGGAAGAGTCCAGTGAGGACTGGAAGGAAGGGTTGGGGCTGCTGGGTGAGGGGTGGTAAAAGAGAGCTGCAGTAGGTGGGGGAGCTGCTGCTGAGGATACAGCATGTGCAGAGAGCACAAGCGGAAGGAAATAGCAGTGGGGAAAGAGCTTTCCCAAGAACGAAGCTGTGTTTTGTCAAGAAGGCCTCTGGACACAAGCTGGATTCATGCAAGTGGACAGCACAGGAGAAGGCGTAAGCAGGAGCAGCAAAGACAGCTCCTCATCTTCACTGGGTTAATTCTGGCTGCATCCCCACCTGTTGGGCCACAGAAAGAGATTGAGATAAGGTCTGTGGGATCTGCTCTATTTTGGATCAGTTGTTGATGGAGCACATCACACCAGACACCAAAGCCATCACAGGATGGACATCTGCTGTAAAGATGAGGGCAGCTGCCTCCAGCAGTGCAGTGCTTTGTGGGACGCATTTGGCCTGCAGCTGCTGTTGGCCAAATCTGCTCTTCTGCCTTGTGATGTCCCGATAAGCTGGTGTAGTCTGGGATCTGGCTGCTGTTATCCGAGTGCTTTGTGTGTGGAGAGGGTGGACTGGGTGTTTTCCAGTGTTCGTGTTATTTGATACATTTTACTGCCTCTTTGTCTATTTTCCATTTCTGGGAGTTGTTTTTTGAATTTCAGCCTCTCAGCAGGGTGGGTGGCACTTGGGGCTGCCTGGTGGACTGGCTGGGTTGGGCAGGGGACTGCGGAGCACTGTACTGTTTCTCTGGATTCTCAACTTTTGCTAAAACAGAATAGTCCTTAGTGGTAGAAACTCTGAAGCACAAAATATACCCAAATATACCCAAAGCAGCTATGGCAGCCTGGGGATGTGGGTCATCAGTCAGAAATCATCCAGACAGCTTGATGTAACAGTTTTACTGCTTGTCACCTGAGCCATGGTAGCTGCCCATGAGCGTGTTTCTGGCATGTCATGATTGCATTGGGAAGTGCTTAAACCCTCTTCAACGACTGCTTGCTCCAACTCCAGTGATAAGAGGGTTAATGCTTAGGTTTAAATTATTTCAGTGTTCATCCAAGTGATTAAGTACAGAGGGGAAGTGTCTCCTTCTGTGGACCATACCAGCATTTCTCACAGCTGTGGGGCAGGGGTGGTGGAAGGTCATAGGTGGAGCACAGAGGGAAAGACGAGCCATAAAACTGCATAGCATGAGGGATGTGTAGTGCTGAAGTCTTTGGCACTGTTAAGCAGCATCTGTGGTGGGTACACGGCAAGGGCGGAGGGAGGCTGCTACATGAAAGGATACACTGCTTTCCAAAGTTCAGGAATTGCTGTGTGAAGCAGAGCTTGTGGGTTCCTTGTCACTGTAATAACAATCTTTACTGAGTGAGATGGTATGTTATTGATAGATGGCGGGGCTGGAGGATGGCCGGTGTTTTTCTAAAACTGTTGATTGAAGATGACGTCACTGTGTCAAAACCAGGGTTGTCAAAGCATGGGCCCATTTTATAGTTGAGGAAACTGAGTCATAGAGTGTCTAGCTGACACTAGGCAGATCTGGTGGAGCGGATGAAATACCAGCATAGCTAAATGCACAGTCAGGCATCTTTCTCCTGGTCTTGAGCACATGTTTCTAGCAAAACCAGCATCTCTCTGTTACCTGCTGTAGGTGTACCTAGTATCCAGAATTTTTTTCTTTTGTCCCTCATTGTTTGGCAGTAAGGCTCTGTTTAAAAATGGCCCCATTTGAAAAGAAAATAATGCTTTCAAGAGCTTTAATAGTGCCTCACTGCTTTAGTTTCCCAGTACAGTTCCATGTAATGTTTTTGGTTTGTTTTGCTGATTGCTGAGATGTTGATACGAGATAGGACAGTATACCAGCAACTGGCCAAGACTTACAAGTTCTGAAACAAGACAAAGACTGCTAACATTGTCAGGTGCTGGGTATCATCTCTTCTCTGTGCAGGGCAAAATGCTTCCTTCAAACTTGCCAAAATCAGAGGAGTTAGATTTTAATTATGAAAGGAGAATTCATGGTGGTATTGGTTAATATACCAAACCAGAAAGTGCTGTGCAACCTCTTTTACAGAAAACTATGTTAGTAGGTTTGAGCTGGAAAAACTCTGTAGGTGACTTGACTCCATTAAATTTTGGATTTCAATGCAGGAAAGAAAGTCTGCATTGAATGACACCATATGGTGGAGACATGCAGCAAGCAAATGATTTTTTGGGAGTTTTGCCAGAGTAAGAAGTATTGAATAAACTGTGCTCAATAGATTAATTTACTTTGGTTGTATTTTGAAAAAGACTGGGTGATTTTATGACCATTAGTGACATTTGCAGTTCTGCAGCCGAAGATAAAGGTAATCAAACGTCATTCTTCAGGGCACCAGCTAATCAGTGCAGTTGTCAGGAGGACTCCCCTCCTCCAGCTCTGTGTGCAGGATTGCACCCTGGACGACAAATGTAGCCTCAAATATCCACTGCTGTAGGCAGGATATTTGGCTCAACTACGCCCCTTGTCCTTCCCCATGTGTCAGCTTTTCCTGCGTGTCTTTCTGAAACCATCACGTGCACCCTCCATCTCTAACTTACTCTTTAAAAAATGGTGAACTGCTCCCATATTTCTTAATTAAAAGTAAATTGTGGGCCAGAGCTGTGCTAGGTGCTGTGCAGGCAGAACACAGAGATGTTCTCTGTGCCGTGGAAATATGGTCTGTCTGAGGTGAAAGATAACCAAGTGATACGAGTAAGGAGAGTCCAAGACAGGTTTGAACTTGGCATGTTCACCACCTAAACCTCATCAAGGATTCTAGGTGTGGCAGACAAGGAATTAGCAGGAGAATCACGGGGTGGTTTTATGGATATTTTGCAGTTTCTCCCACGGTTGTAGGAAAGGCACAAAGGTTTGAGAATAGAGCTTGGCAGTGCTGGGGCTGGCATCACGAGCCACAGGGAGATGGGAGCCGCGACCTCCATGGCAAATGGGCTTGGCTGGGAAGGGCCTGGAGGGTGAAGACAAGTGACTTGTGGTTGCAGCAGCGGGAAAGAGGGCATATGTGCAGGGGTGTAGAGATGGGGGAGATGTGGTCATAGGAGCAGGCAGAGGTGCTGAGCTTTGTAGCTCTTGAATCTCGTTTGAATTGATTTGATTCTAGCTAAATGTCCACATCTAGTAGATAAGCAATAAGCTGGTGACTGAGGGTGGTTTTGTTTTAAATTCATTATCTGAGCTTTGTGGCTAATAAAGTTAAACAGAAAACATTTACTTCTTTTTCCTAATAGGAATCAACTGTGCTCTGCAGCGGCTTGCGGGCCATGCATGCTTTATCCATGCCCTGTGTATCGAGCCCTCAGTACAAGGGGAAATTGTTCTTTCCATTATGGCTTTATATTGCCAATCTGATACAATATTTAAACAGATTATCTCAATGCTCTGTTTGTCCCAAACCAATTTTTGCTTTGGCCTATAAAGTGAATCTTCCTTTCAGCGGCTTCTGTGGTACAGGATGTAGTTACATGCATCAACTAGTTCAAAAGACCCATATACAGCATGGATTTAAAGCTGAATAAACCCACAAAACCCTTAGCTAGGACTATAAATGTCACTGTATTTTTATATATGTCAGTATTTTTTTTTTTAAGAGAATAGGATTACTGCATGCAGCTATAACTGAAAGTCCTTTGATAATTCAGTGGGTATTTTAAACCTACAATGATACACTTTCATAAAACCACACATCCCTGTTTTCCAAAGGATGCTAATAAGATGGTTAGCTTTGCTTTCATGCTTGATGTGTTTATGAGTGCTTTTGCCCATTTAGTTGGATCTCTGAATTTAATGCCCCACTCTGATTTAATAGTAATTGTCAGGAGTCTTTTCTCCTTTTTGTATGTCCCCACTCACTGTCTGGAAAATGCAGTCTCCTTATTGCTGACCCCATCAGTCTGTCTCCTCATGGTGCCTGTAAAGAAAACCCTCTCCACCAAGGACAAAGATGTTTTTAAACAAGCCAATCTGATATAAAACATAGTTTGCTTAACCCAGAGGTGACCAAGAAGTGGTTGCTGGCTGACTATGCCCAGCCTTGAGTTGCTCTGTATGGCTGCCCTTCTCCAAAGACTGCACACGCTGCCACACTGTGCTGTTCATTATCTGAACAGCATCTGCAGTTCCCTTCTCTGTTACAGATGCCGCAGTCTGCTTAGTTTTGTGCAAATGACATGCTGCCCTTACACTCGTGTGAGTCGAGTTGTCTCTGCAGCTCCTCAGCCAGCTAACATCTCCACTGTCCTGCTCGAGACTTGTTCTGCTCCTCACCCTGGACACCCCAATGAGGGAGTACCACTGGCCTGGCTGCCATGCAGTCAGCCTTGGCATCCTCCCTCCTCACTGCAGATTAAGGCCCAGCATCGAGACATTTGTTCGCTGCCCTGCTTCAAAGGCCTGCTCTTCTCCTGTTGCTTCTGAGCATCCTCTTGCACCAAATTTTCCCATTTCATGACTTTCTACCCAGCATCTCCCATTAGTAACAAGGGGTTGCTTTCTGACTCTCATCAACCCAGATTTGTTTCACCATTGTATTTGTGAGCAGAGAAGTACTTGTCCATCAGTGTGTGTGCAGTAAGGGCTGCTTGTCCCACATAGTGGTGGCATGCAGCAGGGATCTCAGCTGAGTTATTTTTTCCAGTCTACTAAGCTGTCAGGCAATGCTTTCTGTCTTCCTAGCCGGTGTGCTCATAAGACCAATTAAAAAAACCCATAATGTTAGAAATTCATCTGTGCATGGCTTTCCTTCATCTTAAATCTTCACTTACTAGAGGGAGAATGCTGGGTTCAAGTTTTAAATAATATTTACAAAATAGTAGCAATCATAGTAACCATTACTACTATTTGGCTCTTGATTTAAGTTGTGTATACAGACCATGCAACCTATGCTGGCAGCTACTGTAATAAAGTCCACTTCTCTATGTTGGCTTGCTTGTCTTCCAGCCTTTTAAATCAGCTTACTTTATACCTTAGAGAATACTTTTATTTCTATATATATCCTCTCTTCTATTGGCTACCCCAGATAATCCTGTGATCAGCCATGCAGCAGTGTCACTTGAGTAGAATATGGAACGATGCTGATCGTTTTCTCATAGGCTGTCATACTAGCCCAGAAATAGCATCCGTCTACAATGGGAGAAGCTCTATTAACATTTACAACTGTTCCTCTTCCCGACCCCTGAGAATTGCTCCGTGGTAGATAAGCAATACTTTGTAATACATTTCTTTGCGCTCAGTTATTTAGGAGTTGAATTCTGAAATATAAAGGCTCCTAATCCTGATCTGCTCTGGGATACACTGTTCTGCTCTTAGTGAGTGGTGCTGTGAATAGGATTAGCATTTCAACAGCTTCTTTTTTTAACTGTGAGCAATAAACTAAAATAATAGGGCCTGATTCAGAGCTCTCTGAAGTCGGCAGTAGCACTTTGGCTGGTATGTGTTGGCTTTGGGTCAGGCTCATAGAATGGGAAATTCAGTGTTTCCCTGAAAAGGAGGGAGAATGTGTGAATTTTAGAGTTCCTGCTCCTGTGGGGTCTGTCCACCCTGAGCTGAAACCCATGGATTTACAAGCCAACAAACACAACTGTAAATTTGACTGCAGGTGAAAAGAAAATGTGTTACTAGTCATGCAGTTAAAACTTGTGTTTTTTAATGATGTCAAGGGCAGTTAGGACATGCATGTAAACAAGCATTAGAGATATTTCTGTCACTGTTCCTTTTCTCTTCCCTCAGACATGTGGAAGTACAGACTGTCATGGGGGCAGAGCATGGCTTGGCCAGGGAGATGAGCGGTTGGGGTAGAAGGGCTTGCAGCAACTGCCTGCACTAAACACAGCCCTTCAAATTCATTAGCTACAGGCCCACGGGTGAGAACCAGCTGTGAGCATCTGGTCCTCAGGGCTCGGCACGTGATGTTACGGGCCTGTACGCTGACTAAAAGCAGTTTGGGGATTTACTGTGCCTGCACTGTACAGGCATGGCACCCTCTACCAAGCAGAGCCCCTTCCTCATTAACAGCTCTTGAGCCAGGTCTGGATTCTCAGTTTTTTACCAGCCTCTTTATGAAGTAGGTGATACCCTGAGCCTGCTTATTGGGCTGTAAGACTGCAGTTTTACTATTCCTTGCACGAGCTCTGAATTTCTGAACTTCAGCTTTCCACAGTGCTTTTAAAAAGCATAGTAACAGTGGCAGTCCTGCAACTTTCTACAAATATTTCAAACCCAGTTTTACTGTTTCTTCTCTTCTCCCTATTTCTTACACATCATGCCTGTGTTTTGAGCTGTGTCTGGTGATTAAATGGAAAACCAATAAATTATTTGCAAATCAGAAATGCTTAGGAGGTGCATTAAATCTCATGTGCATTTAAATCTCAGTGTGTTTTCATCCTGCATTATTGAAGACTTTGGCACTGTGACGTGTAGCACTGTGTCCTTTCCAAAACGCTCCCCACCTTGGAGCAGCGTAATGAGCAGTTGAAGGTGGCCGTTTCCAAATGGCTGAGGTGAGGCTCTCCAGGATTCAAAAGAAGGGCACTAGCACACATGGGGGATGCATTGCAGTCATGACAGTTGTACCACGTCCCACAGCTCCTTATCTTGAGTACAGGTTTCTGATTGCTGTGGTCTGGAGGGGATCAGGAGCAACCTTCATGGCTCAAATAGTCCTTGGCTCCCAGCAGGAATATTTAGAGGGTGTAGTTTCTCATAGCAACAAAGCACTTCATGACATTTAATTGATTCACCTTTGCAGGTCGACAAGAAGCATTGTCTCCATTTTGCAAATGGGAGAGCAAAAAAGCTTGAGAGATGGGCCCCCTGGGCCCAGGTTTGTGCTGATATTTGAACTTTGTTCCCAGCTCTGGGTCTTAGTGGGCTTCAACATAGGAACTGTCTGTGAGAGACCTAGCAGGACTCCTGAGGGCTCTGGAAAGGGCTGTAGGTGTATTCCTCACCTGGATTTGCTCAGGCAAATTAGTTGCAAGAGCATCTGTGTCCCCAGGCTGGGTCTCAGTGTGGTGTGAGCTGCTCAGGCTCCGAGGAGAGGTGTCTGACAAGCAGGGGGGTGCAGAGCAGCATGGCGACATGTCCAAGGACACCCAGGCAGTCATGGACTCAGCCTTCTCCTGTGCCCTTGGCTGCAACTGCCCCTCTCCTGTGGAGCTGGGCTGGGCAGTGAGAGGCGGGTGGAATTTGGATGATTTGCATCCCTTGGTTACATGCCAGGATCCAGAATATTTTTCCAGCCATTTTAGAGAGGTGCAGGTCTGTGAGCGGTGGCACTGACAAAAGCTTGGGTGTGCTGCTGTAACGTGCACAGTTGTAAATGAGCTGACCTGCATATTCTGTTTCCTAATCCTGAGTGATACTGTCAGCTCAGAGAGCTGAGCCTGGCTAATGACTGAAATCCACTGTGCTTTTCTTAGTGAGGATGTGTGGTGATCTGAGATAGTTGTTAAGTGCTACATCCTGAGAATCAGAACTGCACGTGCCCCATGGGTCCAGCATGTTTTAGACAGATAAACGGGGTTTGAGATGATCAGGGAGTTACTATGAAAAGAACTGATGTCAGGTACATAGTAACCTGCAGTTAACTAGGAGGGAGATTAAATTAATGGGTTTTCCCTCTGATAAAGATAATGAAGAGCTTGCAAGGACTTGGTCTGCAGCTCCTACACATGATATGCATAGTACTGTCTTCCTGGCACAGGGAATGCCAAACAGCTGTGTGACAAGAGCAATGCAGCCAATGGTGCACCCCACTGAGCGACATTTGTGCTGTCTGAGACCTTGTGGATACTCTCTGAGATGAAGGAAAATAGGAGTGAGGGGGACGAGTAGAAGAGGAAATGGGAACAGGGACTGCAGGAAGGGGTTCAAGGTGTCCTGGGATCCACTGCCATACAGAACCCACCTCACAGGAGGAGGACATGGCATGGCGTGGTGACAGTCATGGAGGGGGAAATAACAACTATGATCTCTCTTGTGGATTTAGGGTTTACTGTCAATCCTGCGTAAACTGAAAAGCACCCCAGACCAGGAGGTGAGAATCCTCCTCTTGGGACTGGATAATGCAGGCAAGACCACACTCCTGAAACAGCTGGCATCTGAGGACATCAGCCACATCACGCCAACACAGGTGAGGAAGGCCTTTCCCTGCCCATGGCGGTTCTTGTAGTCCCACCTGCCTTACTATACAAAGCACTCATGATTCAGCGGAGTATTTCAGTAAAAGGGGGAGCAACTGAAGCTTGGTGCACCATTAAGTTTGTGTGTTTTCTGCACAAGAACAGGGTCCCTGAAGGAGTCAGAGAGTACCAGGCCAGATCTGTCCGGTATTGTAAAAGTGGATGAGTGCTGTGGAGTTCTGCAGAAGGCTTTTGGGTCATGATAGGGTTGTATGGATGAGACTTTGTTCTTGTTGCCCTTGCCAAACAGGGGACATGTACAGGGAATGCTGCAGCAGGGGGCAAGCCCCTTGCATCTTTCACCTAGCCAGCTCCAAGGGTCATGTATATTCCAATACTCCCTTTCTGATGCCTCTGGTCCCCTTTCATTGAGCCTCAGGGTTGGGGAGAGAGTTGTCTCCCATCTGAAGCACTGCAGCATCACTCCTGTGTTGACCAGAGGAGGTTGCTAGAGAGCTATGGGAGATCCTTCCCCCCACCCTGTAGCTGCTTCCCAAAACTCCCAGCCCTGACACCCCAATTCCAAGCCCCAGTCCCCTGGGTGGTGTGGAAGTGTGTTGCCAGCCCATGCCACATCCTGTTTTTCTAATTGAATGCCCTTTCAATTGGTGCTCTAATTGATGAAATGGACCCTTCAGACGTGCAGCTGTTGCTCTTTTAAGGCCGGCATTAGCTGTGTCGTTTCGAATTGAGCTGAGACCTCTGGCTTCATGTTAGCTGGGGCTCTCTACTCAGCTTTCACGAGCTCAGTGTTGCTTCTCATAGCGTCCTTGTTTTTTCCTTATCTGCAGCTCTCCCACCTCTTCCTGCACCCACCCTGCTGAGCCCTCCCAGGGTACTAACTGCATCATGTGTCTCTAGCCATGACAGCATCAACCCATGACCCAAGAACACTGGCAAACTGATGGTTTGGCAGCTGTGTTCACTTTTGCCAGTACCTCTCCCACAGCCGATCCATCTTTGTGGCTGCCCAGCCCATGTCGCTACATATTGCAGGCATGGGATATATAAGGTGTTAATGTCTGCTCATGTATGTGATCCAGCCATTTGGGTTTATGCTCTATGTGGCTTTGTTTCTGCTCTCTTCAGGGTTTTAACATCAAAAGTGTACAGTCTCAAGGCTTCAAGCTGAACGTATGGGACATAGGTGGACAGAGGAAGATCAGGCCGTACTGGAGGAACTATTTTGAAAACACCGATATCCTTGTGAGTATTGGCTGTAGTTGAATGCTGTGTTCATGCATTGGCTTTCCGAGGTCTCAGCCAGAAATTCAGGAACAAGTAATGTAATGTCCCAGTCCTCAGCAACACCATTGCCATTGTAACAGAAGTTATTCTGAGTGAAATGGCAAGATTGGTTGGGTGCAGTAAGAAAACTACAGTGATATTTGGAGAAATCATTCAGTTGTATGTTTTTACTTTAATAGGATGGTGCTGGTTATAGCCAGTTCCTTTCCTCTCATCTCAGTCTCCTTCAAATGAAAGAACATTAATAACTTGTAGTTTGCCCATGTGTAGCTCCTTTCACTGGGGACTCTGGAGACCTGTCATGGGCATTAGTAACTTAAGCCTCATGTGTAGAGGTAGGTCAGTATGGTGCCTTTGTTTTCTGGTTGGGGAAACTGAGGCACACCAGAATTAAATGCTGTGTCTTGCATCAGATAGGAAACCTTTTGGCTGAGGGACACAGAGACCCCTTGTCTTTTCCTTTAGTCCTTTAAATCATAAGACTGTCCTTTAATGTTTTTGACATCTTAGGTGCAATTACCTTACAACTAGCCACAGATGACTACAGTTGTATTTACTGTGCAGGACCTTTTTGTTTCCATGTCAGAGTACATTATCCTGGGACCCTCCAAGTGCTGTCCTGATAGTTTCAAAGAGCACCTCTAACATGCAGCCATGTGTGCCAGGATGAAGTCAGGCTGGGGGCTCCAGACCTCTCCTTGCCCCAAGCACTGTTTCCTGTGGGAGCAGAGAAAAGGCAAGGTCTGCAGGGCTCCCATGGGAAAGCAGGAAGCTCTCAGAAAGATGCCCTTCCTCCCTCCTGTCACACACACAGACTCACTTGCACAGAAGGATTGGAGCAACTAGGAGTAGGACTTTCTGCTCCAAGGCTCATGTTGGGGTCCTGAAGGGTCTTGGCTGCACCTGCAGATTTAGACTGCATTGTCCAAATGAAGCTGTTATTTAAATGGGACTAATAAACCCTCAGCAATCTCTTGTGCAGACTCCCCTTTTTCAGCCTTAATTTGAAATCTGATGTTTGAGGGCAACCACCACAACAGTTTAACCTGGTTGATTGCTTTTTCAAAGAGTAGTGGTGAGATATCCTTAGGGGAAAGATCTGGGTTTGAGCAACTAGCAGGACACACTTCAGGTACTCCTCTGTGGCCATCGAGAAGGGGGACATGGCATGGCTGTGCAGTGATTGCGTCCATTGCATCCAAGCTCTACAGCTGTGGGTGGTGGGGAGGCAGTAGGTGTGCAGATCAAAGTCAACACTGCAAAGCAGCAGCTAGGGGATCCTTGCCTGCTATGGCAGGTGCTCAGGCTGCAGAGACTGCACAACCACAAAACAATATCTGGAAGACTCTGCTGGTAAAGGCAATGATCTATACTGGCCTGTGGGCTTCCACCCTTCCCAGTGTGTGCTACATAGGAGATGCAGAAATAAAGGTGAATTTGAAGACTGAAGGAGATGGAAGCAGTTGTTTTCCCTGCCTTCCTCTCACCCCAGTTAAAGCAACATACAGAGAAAACCCTTATTTTCATACAAGTAGGAAAACGGTAGATAGAAGCAGAATCAGTTTGGGGGAAGAAGCGGTGTGAACTCTGAAGGAGTAACTGAACATGGACCTGAGCTCCCCTGCCTACACTCCATGCTGACACCCAGTCCCAGACTGGGAGCTGTTGGCATGTTAGTGCAGTGCTTTGCTATGTCCATACACACCAAAACTGGGATCATGTATATGCTGATGACTCTGTCTTTTGCTAGCCCTCACGCTTGTTTTAGCCAGCAATTTTTACCCTCTGACAAACCTGGTGCAGGTTATGCATCTGTAGGTTGAGCCAACTTATCCCTCATATTTCTTCATCTAGTCCCACCACTTGCAATTTTTGCCCAACCCACTTACTCCAGGTTTTGTTTTGGCATGTTGCTCAAAGGAGGGACCCAACTCTATGGGAATTTCTTTCTCAAGCTCCATTCCTCCAATATGGTGTACTCAATGGCAGTTCAAACTGACAAATGGTGCTGCTGAGCACCACAGCCAGAAGCAGGCTCTTGTGTGGCCCTGGCCATAGAAGGAAGGTGGAGATGAGATACACTACAGTTCCCAGGACCCTCTGCTTCTGTCTTCTCCTAAACTGTATTGCACAAAGCAGAAAGAACCCTCTAAAGAGTATTAAAAAGCAGGAAGTGATTGCAAATTCATATCCATGCAGGTGCCTTTGAATGAGAGCTTGGTCTTGCATCACACACCTGTGATATTTGGAAGCTTAGCCCAGGCAAATAAGGTGTGGATATCTGGCTGATTGCATATTCAGACAGGCACCTGCAGCTATTTGGCACAGTGCTTTCTGGTTTGGAAGTAGGCACTCGGCACATACTTTACCTTCTCTGTGCTGTGCTTTTGTGGCTTTCGCCTCGAGCGCTGTTGTCTCTAATTCTCGTCTTGCAAAATAGCTCCCTAGCAAGGAATGGAGTGGTGCAGGAGAAAGCCTGGCTGGTTGGGACTCGGAGCTCTTCCTTGCCAGTTACAAAAGCACCGTACAATGGGAGGTGCTGCCTTTCAGTTGAGAAGTAGCACTCAACTATTGCGTTCATGTGTTGCTAAGCTTCCCCTAAGATGTCCCAAAGGAGGACAGATGACAGTCTAGTTTCACCCCAGAGCACAGCTGCCAGCCCTGCCACTTCTTTCTTTATTTTGGTCTGTGTTTCCTACCCCAAATGGGGTGGATGCTTGGGAGGGGTAGAGAGGACGGGCGTAGCTGATACAGTATTGGTGCACGTGCTTGGGATCACAGTGCAAGGAGAGGCCGTGTGTCACGGTGTGCCACAGGCCTTTCCCCATCACGTGGCACCACGTGCGTGCACTGCTGATGCATCCCCACGCAGCTGCGTCCAGCTCTGCTGCATGTCCCCCAGCCTCTGTCAGTGCACATCAGCCCGGCCCCAGGAGGACTGCAGACCCCAAGTGATCAGCAGAGAGGACTGCAAGGTTGCTGGGTTACCTCCTCAGGCCTGGCATACAGATTCTCCTGCTGTGTGTTTGGTCCCATTTCAAACAACTCCAACACTGGTCATTAAGGGAGTGCCTACAGTTTAATAGATATTACTGTTAGAGACCTTCCCTCCCTGTACTATTTGGCTGAAATTATCCTGGAAGCATGGAGTCTTATGCTGAGACTGCCTGCAAGGATGCCATTTATCTTGATGGCGGGGTGCTGTGCTCATCTATTCCCTGAAAACCAGGCTGACACTTGCTCCCTGTAAGCCACCAAAGAGCATGCAGATGACATGCTAGCAGCTTCAATCATCACTGATGAGGAATGGCAGGGACTGGAAGCAAAATATTCAGTGTTTGTCACCAGTCCTGTCCCTGTCTGCTGTCCCAGAGCCCTTCTCCTTCAAAAACCTTCCTGTACCAAGTAATGAAAAAGGGCTATCAGGCTATTCTTGCCTGAGTGTTATACTGAGGTTCCCCATTTCTTTAGATGTAGTTTGATACTTGTGTGCTCTGAACTGCAATAGCATTGCTAGCGGGAAGGAGGGTGGATGGACTTACAAATTATATATTTAGGGGGACCTTTGATTAGCCTTTTAGCCTGTGCAGACCTAGAGCTGCCTTCATTGAGAAGGCTCATCTGCATTTACATAAAGGAATCAGCACATGCCATGCTGCTTGGAGAGGGTGGAGATGCCCTCCCAAGGCAGGGGGCCTGTGGACCAAGGGGATCCACCCTTCTCCATACCAGGGGACAGGGTGCCTGGTTGGGACCTCCTTGTGGACTGTGCAGTGTGGTGCCCAGCCCTGAGAGGGTGGCAGGACTCTGCTGTCAGTCTTTGTGAGCCAGCTGCTCCCCGTCTTCTCCATCATCCTGGTGGACAAGCTGGCAGCGCTCCTCCCCAGGTTGCTCCAGGAGGTTGCAGTAGGATCGCCTGATGGAGAGGAACTCAGTGTCCCCAATATGAGTGCCATTGTGTGCCTTGGTGGCTTCCTGAGGAGGTGATGGCATGGCATTGCCACACCAGTGCAGTGTTGTACACTTTGCTAGGGTGAAAGACCATGTCTGCCCTCCTATGCCTGGCTTGTAAGCCAGTCATTTGAAAAGATACCAGGCAGTCTCCTGTTCTCTTCAGATTATTATCTGAATGCCATGGAGATGGTGAGAGCATCCCCAGTACTGCCCCTAGCTCCTTTCTGATTCTACCCACACGGCTGTTCACCCCCCCTAGCTTTAAAAGGGACGGTTCCTCTCCTTTCAGAGCGTTGTGAAGTTTTGTCAACATTTGCTATAAATAATACCAGGGATCTTTTTGCCCAAAGCATAATTATTAGGCTCAGCTCACTTAAGCACATGACACTTTGGAATAGTGTCTTCTGGGAAGAGTAATTTTTTCCTCTCATTTCTTTTTCAGATCTATGTCATTGACAGTGCAGATAGGAAGAGGTTTGAAGAAACGGGTCAGGTAAGTTACTTATGCCCAGCTTCCTTTGAAGTAATTTAGTGCTTCTGAGTGCCCCTTGCTCACAAAAGTTACGGAGATTATTTTGTTGTTTATGAGAGAAATTTGCATTTCAAGAGACTTGCCTTTCAACATCAATGCAGATTATTTTGGTAGATGTGAAACAAGAAAAATAGGTAGCCTAATTCTGTTTAAATAGAACGGTTTGCATTAAAGTTATACAATAATAGCAAATGGAGCCGAATACTGAAAGCAGAAACTTCTCTAAGTCCTTTAAACCTTGCCAAACCAAGACCCTGAGGAATCCTATTTTCTTATTTACAAAGTTGAAATGGAAATCATATTGACTTGATTGTCTTTTGGATGCAACTGAAAAAAAAACCTTAAGAACTTTGTAACTAGGACTGGCCAGAAAATAAGATTTCCGTTTTGCAAAGTTTTGAAGTTTTGTAACATTTTGTGTTTTAGGATGAAACAAAAATAGTACTTTTGAACTTTCTTTCATAAAATTCAGAAAGTGACAGTGTCCCAAAATAGCTAGCAACAGATTTACCCCCCAGACATGGGAGTTTTAGTTTAAAGCCCTCTGTTCTTGTCTGATTTGAAGGAGGCACTTGATCTTTTGCTTCTCAGGTATCATGGCCACACGCTAACAGCAGAACTGTTGGTTGTTCTAAGGGTGGGGATAACCTTTCCCCTCTTGAAGCTATTTTGTTTATATCAGTAATTAAATATTCATTGGGCAAAAGAGAGTGAGAAGAAGCAGAAGCTTAGGGCACTTGCCCGAGTCAGGCAGAGTCAGCCTGGACCCCTCATATTTTCGCAAGCACTTTTGGTTTCAATAAATCAGCCATGTCAGATGAAAGACCTATTTTGTTGAAAAATTCCCAGCCAACTCTGTTTATAACTCCATTCTCTCGTCCTGGTTTCCAAACTAAACATTGCTTTTGGGGGGATGGAGTCAGATTTCCACTGCAGTTTAGCATCTCCCCAACTGCACTCATTTAATCCAAAAGTTTCTAGTCAGTGGATGAAAGATGTTAGGACAGTATCTGAGAGCATGAGACCTTTCCAGCTAAATAAGGAGCCCACAAAAATCTCCTGTACTCATCTATCTGTAATGCCAGAAGTCCCTACAGTTTCAAGTTCTGCTGGGTTTGTCATATGTTCACATAGGGAAGTGACTTGAGACTGCTTGTTTCACATGAGGCCATTGCACAACCCTAGACATGAAGTATTTAAGCCATCGTTGATCCACTGCAGATTCAGATTTGACCTATTAAAAGAATCTCTTTGAGTCACCCAGTTTTCAATGAACAAACCCATTTCTCAAGATGCCACCCAATGTGTTGTGTGCATATGGAGCCAAAATCCAGCTAGTAAAGCTGATGTAGCTTGTCTTCAGCTAGCCAATGCCTTCAAAAGCATCCACACTTTCTTGGGGGAGAGAGATTCCATTTCGGTGGGGTGGGGTATGTGGTGTTGGTGGTGGAAGGTCCTCTCCCACTCAAATTGCAGTGTATAAAAAACTTGAAACGCATTATTAGCAAAGATATCAGGGCTGGTGTCAATGGCTGCTCAGGTACAAATGGCAGTCAGGCAATAACTAAAGACAGATTCCTCATACTGCCAATTTACATGTTTTTTTGCTGTTTCATCAGTTTTGGTCTCTTGGGAGCAGGGAATGGTAAAACACAGAGTTGTAGCCTTTAAGGCAACTGCTAATTTCAGACCAAGATGAAGATTTTTGTAACCTGTAATTGGAAGAAATAGCTTTTGAACCTTGGGCAGAGATGATTGTATACATTTTTGCTCTCTTATAATAAGATCTAGGTTTCACTGGAACATACTCTTCTAGCATTTGCCCTAAATATATTTCTAATTAGAGACAACCACTGGTGGTTGAAGGTTTTCTTCCCTTCCCTCTCTCTGTCTTCCCCCCACCTCACTCCCTTGTAAATGATACAGGAGCTGGCTGAGCTTTTGGATGAAGAAAAGCTTAGTGGAGTCCCAGTGCTCATATTCGCTAACAAGCAGGATTTGCTGACGGCTGCCCCTGCTTCGGAGATTGCTGAGGGACTGAACCTACACACAATCCGGGACAGAGTCTGGCAGATCCAGTCTTGTTCAGCTCTTTCAGGAGAGGGAGTACAGGTGAGGCTCTGGAGAAGGCTTGCTGTGCCAGCAGGCCATCTGTAAGAGATTGTTTTCTGTTGATCTGCAGGGTGGGGCTGGACCGGCTGCCTCATGAAGGAGGGTCAGTGCAGCCAAACCCTTGCATCACAGAATATGGGGGGCGCGTGTCTCATCTCCTGTGCAAAGGGAAGGGTTATCTGTGGGTCCTTGGGATTTCTCCATCCCTGGGAAAGGGGAGAGTTATTGCCTCCACACCCAGGACCCCTTGGCTGTGCCAAATGAAGACACTGATTTATGCTAAAGAGACTGCTGTCAGGTTAATCATTTTCACAAAACAAACCGTCTTTTACTATTAATCCCTTTGACTTTACAAGTGTGCACTTTAGAAATCTGATTTACCTTTGTTACTAATGTCGTTTGGCATTTGACTCAACCTAGGCACCAGAGAGAAACCATTCAATCTTTCTGATCCAAAGAAACACAGGAGTTGCATGTGGGGCAAGGCCCCATGTAATGGCAGCATGTGGGGCAGCAAAAACCCACTGGGGGGGCTGAGCTGTGTTCCTGTGCTGAACTGTAATAGCTGTGTCTTGGACTCCTGTGCTCTAGCCAGTTCCTGCAGTACAGTACCTCTTTGTAATGTAAATGGAACCTAGGTTTGTTTATTTCACTCAGGCTTTCCTGAATTAATGAAATATTTGCAGTGCTCGAAATCTGAGCAGTCAGGAGTACTTCCTTCACTGATATTTAAAGAAAGAGAATGGTGAAGGCATTTATCTTCACTGCAATTTCAGTAAAACCTTATTTGCAGATGATAGAGAGCTGTTCAGGATAGTCAGATTTCAAGCTGAGAATGAAGAGTTGCAGAAGAAGCCTGCAATACTGAGTGGGCAGTAAAGTGGCAGATGAAATCCAGTGTTGACAAGTGCAAAATAATGCACACGAGGAACAACAGTCCTAACCGTACACATATGATGATGGACTCAAAATTAGCTGCCATTACTCAGAAGCAGATCGTTGGGAACAGCAGCTTAGTGCTCATCAAAGACCAGAGAGGAAAATCAAATGCTAGAGAGTTATCTGAAAGCAAACAAGAAACATCCCAGGAAACATTTATTTTGTAGCAGAATAAAGGCATGGTGGGCCCATACCTTGAACATGACATTTATTTATGCCTCTGCCCTATCTAAAAAGATCTAGTAGTAGTAGAATCATAGACTCCAACAAAAAAATTAAGTTGAAGGGACTTCAGGAGATCTTTAGACCAACCTCATGTTTAAAGCAGGGATAACTGTCAGTATAGAGGAGGTTGCTGAGGGCCTTGTCCAATCATGTGATAATTATCTCCAGGCACGGAGATTCCACAGTGTCTTTAGGTAACCTTTCCTAGCACTTAACTATCCATCAGAAAAAATATTGTCCATGTATCTGCTCAGAACTAGGAGAGATTTGAGAATACTTTGTTGAAAATGATCAGTAGCACAGAGTGGCATCTGTACACAGGGATAATAAAGAAATTAGGACTTGAAACTTGGAAGAGAGAGGACAGAGTGGGAACACCTTCAGGATTTATAAAATAAGGTAGAAAAATGTCAGATAGACTATATGCTGTTTTTCACGTTGCTAAAGGAAGTGCATTACTAATGAAATAATCAGACAGCAGCTTAAAAGAGATAAAAATAAGTGCTTATTTGTAAGTAGTGTAATTAAATTGTGGGTCTCATTGTCACAGGATGTTGTGGAGACCAAAGGTTATCAGTCATTTAAGAAAAATACTAAGAATTTCTGAAGAAGGAATCCACAGGCAAGCACTGACCACTAAGATCCAGAGGCAGCTTTTGAATGAGGAAAGGCTTGGGTCGTGGATGGGAGGGAAGAACAGTGCAAGGAAGACCCTGTTCCTACATGTTCTTTCCCTTGGCATCCAGAAAAGGTATTCTGGCCTGGATGAACCATTGGTCGGACCCAGTACAACAGTTCCTCTGATTTAAAATTCCTAACCTGATGTTTAGACCAAAACGTAGTAGATGGTGTCCTCCAAAGGGCCTTTGTTTAGTTAGCCGAGATACAAATTCAGCTATGTTGCAGCTGTGAAGCCTGTGAAAGTCTTCAACTCTGATCTTTATTTTGAAGTGGTGATGATAGAGGGAAATGCATTCCACAATGGCAGTGTATATTCATGTCCAAAGAAATGTGATCAAGAAAGTGGGGCTGCAGTTCACAGGATTGCAGGCAGGCATAGGTCACCTTCTTCCCTCATCTCGGCTCTCCTCTAGTTTATGGAAGTCCAAATGAGCTCTCCAGCTGCAAATGGGCAGTAAAGTAAGTGTCAGATGAAATTCAAGGATGCGTATTGGAAGCGGAAGAACTAAATGATAGAAAGTGGCACTTTCTGTTCATGAGCTTTGAAAAGCTAAACTCTGGGCTCTCTGGAGTGGGCTTGCACACTTCTTCATTGATAGCACCTTCTTACTGTGCTTTCTTTTTGAAGTACAGTGCATCCCTATACATTTAATAGAGGAAAAATGTGCAGCCCAATACCCTCTACTGGGGAAATGAAATCTGCTGCTGCATTCACTTCCAGAAAGCAGAAGGCAAGAGCTAAAGAAAAGTATTTGTGGGCCTATAAATTTTGTTCATCGTGCTTATCTAGACAAATTAATTTAGATGCAGGGCAGATAACATCCTGCTTTGTTGTCCACAGTCTCACTGCCCTAAATACTGCAGCTTATGCCATAAATGATTATTGCTGAAAGGTCAGAGAAGTCACATTCTCTCTACAGCTTATAGAAAGAACCCATACATTTCTCTTCTGCCATAACTCCAGCCCTGTCAAATCAGACAGCAAGAATGTCAAGCTCTCCCTTTCCTTGGAAATTCACTGAACAAAATGGTTTGGGAGATGGCTTTTAAACTAAATCTGGATCAGCCCTGGGAGAATCAGCATTGTCAGTCCTCGGACTCTAAGGAGAGGTCAACATGCTCAAAATTTAGGAGAATCAAAGAACTTGTTTAAAGAGTGAGATTAAGAAAGATGTTTTTGAGGATCATGGTACACAATATATCTACCAGTGGCTCAGAACAGGAGCTCTCTATATGTAGTTAAATCTCAGGTCACTGCTTTAAGGATTTCTTTGAGAAATGACAACGACTGACAGCAAAATAAATGAAGACGTGGAAGCATCAGGTATTCAGAATGAAAGCCAAGGAGCGAGCACGCTAACCGCCGCTGCTGATGGAATACATTAGCTAGAGTAAAATTGGAGACATTGCTGACAGATTTTGCAGGGAAGAGTGGTGGCATATCTAGTACTGAGTACATGCAAGAACAGAGTTCATAGGGGAAGATTTCTCTGATAGCTTGAAGGAAGAGCAATGAGCAAAGATAAATAATGCCAATACATGAAGGAGAAATAGTTTGAAGGTCATTTAATTAGTTTAGCTGCTAGTACCATGGTGTATAGAATTGGGTAGTTAAGACTGGGGATTTCAAGGTTAATGAGATTAGATTATGGTTAATAGAATGATATAAATTTAGAGAATTTAACTATTAACTTGAAATGGGTTATTTAATAAAACTGTTAATTAAGGAGGGAATCCATATTGTCATCTTCTCTTTTAAAATTAACCGTTGGGGACTTCAGAAAAGGAGCCCAGCAATGTCCTGGGCAGGCTCAGAAGAAAGGTGACTGGGTTAACTGGAAACCTAATATAGTATCCTCTGGATGCCAGCTGGTAGCCCCAGTTATGCCAGCTGAAGACTTCATTACCTCCTGACTGTAACCGTGGGCAGCACTTGTCTTGTGAATCAGGCTTCATGGTGCCATTGAAGGAGGAGTGGCATCCCTCATGCTTAGAGACTTTTTCAAGCAAAATATCTGCTTGGGTCTGCTAGTTAGGAAAGCAGGAAAGCCTTTGCTGCCCACCACAGCCATTTAGGCTCTGTCTCTGGAGCAGACTCTTCCACCATTTTACACCGAGACCCTTGCACAGGGTACAGCAAGCAAGGGAGGCGATCGCCAGTGTCAATAGAGAAACATAAGGGAACTGTTGCCTCACAATGGCTCCCTGGTGCCACGTAGGCTCTCTGAGGGTTGTGTTTTGTGACCAGATCTCCAGTTGTAGTCCGTGGCGTGCAAAGGCTATGTACATTCCACCCTGGCCAGCCAGGGTGGGGTGAAAGCAGGCAGGACTCCTCCGCTTTGCAGCCTGTTCTCTTGCTGGAGGTGTTATTTAGGGGCTAGGGTGTGTATTAAACATGACTCAAGGCTTTGGACCAGTCCATGCTCAGCAGCTTGTTTCTTGTCTGAATCAAGAGTCTCTCCGATCAAGGCAGCAGGAGCTCAGCCTGCCCTGAGGAATCATCCTCCAGAATGATGCTGCAGCATATTGTGTCCAGAGTCTCCCAAGCATAATGGCCCCCTGGAGACCATTAAAAGCCAGTAGAACTGAGAGTAGCCACTAAACTCCTCTAATTTATGCCAGAGCTGGTCTGACCCAAAGGACTGTGGGAAGGGTTGAGCCGCCTTCTTCTCCCTGGCTATTTCAACCCCGTTGAGAACGAAGCCCAAGACCTAAGTTATGCTGATGCTGCGATTCAGCACTTTCAAAAGGGCAAGATTCAGAACAGGACCCCCCGGCAATGTTGTATCCTCAGAGCTAGGTTTTGTCTTAAAGATGTCTTAGCCAGGGCAGGCTAGATGAGGATCTTCCCCATCTTAACAAGGTTCTGGGGCTACTTGTAAATGTGATTTAAAACCAATTTTGATGACTGCAGCTCTCCTGGGGCAGGCATTGGAGGAAAAGCAACCATGTTTCCAGATTACAGGGCAAAGTCTTGTGATTTTTAAGCAGGGAGTCTACAGTGCTGCATCAGGGATACAAGGTCTCAGAGGACAGAAGAAAAGCTTGCACCCAGGCAAAAAACAATGGATAATGTACTTGTGGGAGCCTGTAAAAGCCAGCCTGTACGATGACTGGAGGTGCAAAGAAATGACAGATAATGAAGGCACAGTCCTAGCTGTGCAGAGAGAGAAGAAAGTGACAGTTAAAATAACGTATACCAAAAATGCTAGAGATGGAGAATTTTGCACTTGCCTGACCCAATTTGTTATGGCAGAGAGAAGATTACATGAAAGGATTAAGCTTTGCTGTCCTTAAGGTCACATTAGGGGTCACAAGTTTGTGGCCTTGCCTGATTCCTGGCTTGCAGGGGAGCAGAAATCGAGAGGCTTTTTGTGGGGTGGAAAGGACTTGTTCACTGTGCTTGAAGTCAGATTATTTCACTCTCATAACCACAAAGATGATAATGCAGAGAATAAGCAAGCAGTGGGCTAATCTCAAGCAGGACTTATTTATTTCTCCTGGGGAAGGGTCTACCAGTCCTTTCCCAAAGGGCATTAGAGTACAACTCCCTTGGCACAATAGCAGATGTGACTGCAGCAAGGCGGGGTTGTGCCGAGCAGCATTTCTCTGCAAGGAGCATTATCCTCTTCCCTGGAGTTCTGTCTCTTTGCTTTGGTAAAGTTTACTAGCTGCTTGTTAAGGAGCTAAGAGAGGCAAAGCTGAAAGATCTGAAATCTTTCCCTGGCTAAGTTTTCCCAGGGTCGACTTGAGGCTGGAATACTAATATTGTATCCGTCTCCATCCTCAGAGTACCTGCCAATGTCTCTGTGTCTCAACAAAGCAGCCCAAGGACATCTATCAAGATCTAAATGTTACTGTAGGGATTGTACTTTCTGCACAGAACCATCTTTTAAGCATGCAGATATAGGGACAGAGTGTGTAGGGACAAAGGATGACAACAGTTGACTCCTTGTGGACTTGACTCTTTCAAGCACCGTTTCCTCCTTCCTGCGTGCTTTCCCCATAGCAGCTCTTTGTGTTTGTAGCAGCTTCTCTGGATTTCTCTCTCTTACCAACCCTCCATCCTGCTTCAAACCTTAGGTAGAAAAACTGCAAATGTACCTTTTAGTTTCTTTTGCTTTCCACCACATTTGCTATTCCTCAAAGCATTTGGGGACACTGCAGAACACACGCCCCCTGAGAAAGTTGCACCAGAAGCTATGGATGTAGCTGCAGTGTGACTGAAGATGAGGAAAGTGTCTTACACATACCTCTTTGATACAACACACGTAGAGCTGAGCATGTTCATTTTGCCTTTATCACTGTCAGGCAGGGAGATATTTACAATTAAATGTGATTTTTTCCTGTCAATTAACTCATGCCAGAAGAGAGTTTTAAAAATCTATTCCTGCTTTAAAAGTTCAGTGACCTACTTACGTATTTCAAGCCTGTTTGGAGTTCACCTTTCCTCTTGCATTTTGCTATGTCATTCTTTCGCCCTCGTTATATGCTTGATGCAGCCAGGCTCCCAGCCATGGTAAATCCCATCATAAACTCTGCTTTATGACCCTCGCCGTGCTGGTGCTGAAACGGTCTGTCTTTCCCCTTCTCGAGCTCCCGAATGGCAGCAGGCAGAGTTTTAATCACCGTGAATTCAGGTTGTGGTCAGATTAGGTAGAAGATAGGATGCGTGTTTGTTGTTTTTCAGTGATGTATTGTTTCTGGGATTACTGTGCTGAATAGCAGAGGGTGTCAGCTGATATTTATTACTTTAAGCTGTCTCAGCTGTTCTGGTTCAGCAAATAAACCTACATTCAAAATGAATGAGGAGCTCTGCTTGCCTTGTATGCCATGATGTGTGCAAATGTGATTATTGCTTCCGAGGCAGGGGAAGCTGAAATCATTGTGGGAGCATTTTTAGTTATTTATTTATTTTTACTCTTTGCAGGCAATCATGCAGATTTCTAAAGCACACAATCAAGCCAAAGGCTTGACACCTCTCCTCCTAGCCCCATTGTTAAGCCCTGGCATTCCTCATGCTGGGAATCGCTGGCTCCCTCTCTCTCTAAAGTGATAAGCTTTAAACCACACTATTGATTGCTTAAGGCATTACATGTTTTACACCTAGGTTATCAGTGTTATTGAAAGGGGAAGACACAAAGCTACTGGGCCTTAAAATGAATCTACCTCTCGTTTTTTCCCATTTGCTCTGAGGATTTCAGACAATTTGTTTTACACTGATCTCTGCTGTGGAGATAAATAAATGAAACTGGAGACATCAACCCTCCCCAAGGTTAGAGTTAGAAGTGTTATTAGTGTAGGGCCTCATGTGCACCCCAGCACAAGCTGGGCTCTCTTATTCTTTATTTAACGCAGCAACAAAGGGCTGATTTCAGAAGTTGCTGCTCCCCTTCAGATAAGAAGTGTCACATAGTGCAGCTATCAAGGTGAATTGGTATTTTCAAGTGAGAACCTCTCTGCTTCTGATTAAGCCCTGAGGACTCCCTCTCTTCTCTCTTAACTCTTTAGCTTCCCTCTGACGGCCACCACCTTCGTGGCTGAGGGGCAACAGGGAGCCATGGGGGTGAGTCTTGGTTCACCCCAAGGGCATGCTGTGCTGTGCCTCCGGCTGGCTGTCCTTGGGGCAGTTGAGGTCCTTGGCAGCCTTTTGGCAGTTTGGGGACAAGGGCATAGGAAGCCAGTGACACTGCTACCATGGGGCTAACAGCAATGCTGGCCCAAAGGCTTTGGTCTTTTTTAGGGCCTAACTATCATTTTAATGATCCAAAAATGACCATTGAACATAACAGAGTGAAATCCCCCTTCCAGAACCCCAAGGTGACATTTGCCCAGTTTCCAAGCACAAAGATGTGTCACGCTCCTCTCATCCCCAAAACCCTACGTGCCCTCTTTCTGCCCTGGGCCTCCATGCTGGCAGACATACTTCATAGGCAGGGTAGAGGTAACAGATTTGGTGGGTCACAAATATGAGGAGATTGTGCCATTTGCGCTCCCTTGTGCACATCTCACAACAGATAAGTGACAGCAGCAGATAAAATGTAGCTTTGCCCTTCAATAGCCTATCCCATTCTGGGATCTCAGGCAATAAACTCACAACTTGGGTATTCACAGCACAACTGTTACCATCTTGCTTGCAGTGGTCAGAGATGTCATGCACACGCTTTTATGGAAATACTCTAAAGAGTATATCAGCCTTTTAAAATGTGACTACATCCATTCTCACTGAACCTTTGTGGGACCCCTGAGGGCCCATTTTCTGTGGGGGCCCTGAGGAACAGGGAGTAGGGTCCAGATCCAGTTACTGCAGTGGCTTTCATGGATCTGGATTTCAAGGCTTGCAGCTGAGCAGAGAATTAGAGCCATTATTCTTAACAGGGAGCTGACTGTATAACAAACAGCTCCTTAAAATCTATGGTCTCAAAGATAAGATGACTTGCCCGAGGTTACACAAATCATCTGTAGTTGAACCTGGAACTGAGCCTTCATCTGCCACTGATGTACCTTGACTGCAAAATGATCCTTCCTCAAAGGACCTACACATAGCAACATGATGAGAAAATGATACTTTTTATGGTCAGATGAAAGATTTAATAACCTCTGTGTGACGACATCTACTGAGCAATGAAGCGCTTGGTTTTTTACCCATGGCATTTTTGGGCACAGAGGGCAGGCAGGGGGTAGATGAGGAGGCACAACATGGTGCTTGCAGAATGGTGGTTGGGTGGGATTAGGGGATTCCTTTTCCTTTGGCTTGACTAACATTACCTTTCTCTGTCTGAAGGACGGCATGAATTGGGTGTGCAAAAATGTCAATGCTAAGAAGAAATAAAGCGTTCTGAGCTGCATGGAAATGGAGGAGCGGTGGGAGCAGAATTCTAGCCTGAAAACACTAATTTGCTGCTTTCTGACCAAATGTTTTTCCATCTGTGCACAGCTACAGCTGTTAAAAGAAAAAAAAAAAAAAAAAAAAAAAAAAAAAAAAAAAGAGAGAGAAAAAAAAGGGAACAACATCGGTTAAAACCTACTGCTGGATTTGGAACTTGACCTGCTCTTTAGTATCGTTTTTTATCCCAATAAAGGAATTGTGTATTTCCTCCCTATGTATAAATAGTATTAAATGTCTGATTAGCAAGCAAGTTTGTAACCAGAAGCAGGACTGTGATTCAGTCTGGAGCAGAGGGAGTGGTGAGTTACTGTAGTTACTTAGATGCATCATAGGGCCTGCCCTATACCTGCGGGTTCGCAGTTGCTGAGGACACGCTCAGGTGTCAGTCACAGCTTCCCCTCCGTGACAGATAAAATGCGGTTGTGTTACCAGTTGTGGGTAGTTTCTTAAAATAAAGCTGCTAAGGAGTCATTTGTGTAATGAGGGTAGAAGACTTCCACATATTCCTATAGCCATAAAAGAGGAGTTTGATCATAGCGAGGCACTGTTGCATTGCGACACCGCTGTAGAAGGGAGAGACGGGTTATATGTGTATAATTGAAGCTCTTTACAGTTGGAATAATGCAGGATGAGCGTGCCTAGGGCTTTTCTCGCAGCTGAAGGAGAATTTAGCCCAGCATTTCACCTTGAGCCAGCAAAAATGTGGTTCCTGTGTTCAGTAAATTCCATATATGAGATTAGTCTTGATGTTGAACAATCCCTGTTGATTTTCCCTTGATGTTAAGGCAACTCCGCAGCAAAATGCAATTAAGTCCATGATTACTTTCTAGAATGAGATACCAGGTCCCAGGTTTCCTTTTTGAAATGTGCAAAATATATTCTCCTACCTCCCTTCCTCAGCAGGCCTTGCCTAGCCCTCTGAGGGCCTTGGGGACTGCCCTGTGGCGGGCTGGCTGCCCAGGGTCTGGGGTCCCCCCAGCCCAGAGCTGGCTGTGGGTTGCCCTGGTGAAGAGTGAGGAGCCTGATAAACAGCAGATGGGAAGCGTTCTTTAAAATGAGGATTCATTCTTCCCTGAACTGGCCTTCCTCTAAAAGGATGCAGTTGCTGAAATAGGAAAGAGAATTGTTTTCCACCTCCTCATCCCTGATTCAAACCTAGCTCCAGCTGATAGTGAGCAGGAGTCATTAGCACGCCAAAGCAGCCATGTCCTGCATGAAGTGAGCTTGGTGACTCCTGGGCCAGCTTCTAATGCACAGATGGTAAAATAATCCCCCTGCCCTGCTTGCCAGCTTTGTTTGCTGCCTGCCTGTGAAAGGCCAGAGAATGACTAGGGACTGCATTACCCCTTCCACCTCTTGGAGACGGACCGGCGGCAGTATGGGAAGAGCTTCATGTACTAAAGCATGTGGCTTTACCACGCGTCAGCGAGTTGACTCATGGACCCAGGCGGACGGCTGACACCCCTGGAGCTCCCAGCTCTTCGCTCCTCCCTTCCCCTGGACGTCCCCACCTCACAGCTGAAACATCTGCACTGTACGTGAAGCAGCCCCTGGCTGCCTACGTGTTGCAGCCCAGCAGATTAAAATCATCTGGGGCTGATTCTGGGTCCCCCCATACATCGGGACGTACAGTAGCAGTTCAGGGGTTGATCTGCATGTAGTTCAGCTGTCTTTCTGTGGCTGGGGGCAGAGGGACAGCTGGGATAGCAACTGCTTCAGCAATCCAACTTTAATCTGCCTGCGTCGGTGAGTCAGCACCCTCTGAGTGCATCTGTCTCCATCACGGAGGCAGGACATGCATGCCATAGTAGTACAGCCTTGCTTTAAAAACCAGACAACTGGAGAGAGGGGGAAGAGCAGCCTCAAGTGAGCTGTTAAGCAATCGCTAATGACACGAAGTGACACAGCCCCAGCTTTGCATGGATTGAGTAAGGAGTCATAAGATGAGGAGAGATGTTCAGTAACTCCCCAGCTGCAGTGGCTTATCAGGAACCCTAGGAATGTGAGCACTGCATGTTCCTGGGCCAGCCCAAGGAGGAGAAATGCATGCCAGCAGTTCCTTGCAATTAATGCATTTGACTGATGCAAGGACTGTAAAGAATTGCAGCCCTTTCTTGTAGGCACAGTTTGCGCTGGCTGAGTGGCAGAGATTTGTGACATACTCCCTAGCTTTGGATTTGCCTGCACTGCATGCCAGATGCAGTGTGAAATGCTTGGGTACCCCTCCTCTGGTCCTGTCAGGACAGAAAGCCCCCTTAGGGGCTCAGGCATTGATCCTTCTCACTTGCAAGGGAGTCGAGTTGGAGCTTCCCTACTGGCTCCCTACTTTTCTACCAGTGGCACGCTTACCCTGTGACACCCTACCTGTGCCACAGTTAGCTTTCTGGATCCAGAAGGCAGCCAAGAGGGTAATTTGGGGTTTTTTAGGCTCACATTGGTTAAACTTGGAAATGTGTGTAAGATAAATATAGTCATTTTCCTATAGCTCCAGTTTGGAAGGAAAAATTGCCTTACTGAACTCAGGATCCAGAAGTGTTTGCTGGCTCATTCATTATGTTTGCATGTAGCTATGCATATTGGTTGTGTGCATTCGTACCAGCCAGAGCTTCACCTGTATGTAATGCAGTAGATTAATTTGGTTTACCTGCACCAGATAGTAAGAGAGGAAGACTGATAGAGTGAGCTGTGCTGGGAGGATGGAAGTGGAGAGTTAAAATGACCATGACTTAAGTAAATCACCCTGCAGTGATGGCTGTAAATGCTCTTTGTATTGTAAAAAACATCTCTCTGTGCATGACCTGGTGAAAATGTAAAAGGATTTGAGGTTCTGTTCACTTGCCGCTCTTTATCTGAATGCATTTACATCCGCTATACCTTCTGCTCCTCCCTCGGCAGCACCTGGCTAAATACCACCTGTAAAACTGGCTGGGGCCAGCCAAAAACACCTGCCACCGTTCAGCAAAACCCCTGCCCCTCTCCCAGCCCTTCAGCTCCTGTTTGCTTTATGGTAATTGCATACGCAAGGCTTTGTCCTTCCAACTCTGTGTGCTTTGCCCTCCTTTAAGTGAGATTCAGGGGAAGCAAACCGGCTCATTGGTATGGGTGGAGCTCTGCCACACGTTGCATCAATTCATAGATTTTTAAAGCCAGAAGGGACCGTTATGTTCCTCTCTCCTGACCTCCCGCATAACACAGCCCATTAAACGCCACCCCGCCGGCACGGTGACTCGCGGTTGAATTAGAGCACTTCTGGTAGGAAGACACCCGGCCTTGATTTAAAGGCTGGGAGTGACAGACAGATCCACCCCAGGCTTCGAGAAGTTTGTCGCTGGGGTTAATTCCCCTCCCACGGGGAGTTTGTCTTGCTTCACTTTCACATCATTAAATCTGGTTTTACCTTTGAGATAGATGAAAGACGCCTCTCCTGCTCCTTTGCGTTCTCTGGAGGGGAGAGATGATGGAGAAGTTAAATTCTTCAAGGGCACATCAGAAAACGTGAGTCCAAACCCCTGCTCTGACCACAAGTGCTGGGCCTGGGGGTTTGTGTCCTCCTCTGGCTGCAGCCACGTCCCCCCACTGCAGCTCACATGGAGAAAGTCGCTTCTTGCCCTTGGACAATGCTCGCCAAAGCCTCATGCAACCTTCTTCCATTTTGCCCCCTACCAATGCTGCTTCTCGCACGTGAATGACTTTTTTTTTTCCTCTCTGTTGAAAATATAACTGAGCACCAGACCTATTTTATTAAGTGTACTGGGAGATCAGCCCACTCAAACTCGCCCCCTGCCCCACAGGGCTCTTCCTTTCTTCTGCAAAAGCAAAAGGTGGCGGCTGTTGCATTCCCTGGGCTGGCTGGGTCCACACAAGCTCTTTCTTTTATGTTCCCTTTTTGACTTTCACCAAAAAGGGGCATTTGCAATATCTGATCATGTTGTTACTCAGTGTATAATATAGATGTCTTTGTCAAAAAAAAAAAAAAAAAAAAAAAAAAAAAAAATTTAGTAGAAAGACAACTCGTGTTTGGGGGTGATCCTTTCTCTTCGACATGCTCATGTTCCCAGCAGTCAGCTGAGGACTGCCCCTTCCCGAGAGCTGCCACTCAGTCTGCGAAGCTGCTCTCCCACTGCTCCCAATGGTTGCTGGTGCTAGAAATGGTCAAAACTGTTGGAAGAAGCCTTTTCCCTCTGGATTTTCACTTCTCCAGAACTATCAGAAAAGCCAGCCAGCAAGAAAGGCAAACTTTGGGAGGACCTTCTTGTTTGAAAAATCATTTCATAGGTTAAAAAAAAAGCGTGTCATGAAACACATTCCCCACTGACCTGGCAGGAAGAGGGAAGGGGAAAAAGAAAAGCAGCAAATGATTTGGGTTTGGTGCAGTGAAGTGGGTTTTGGAGGGGGTTTTGAGGGAAGGAAGCTAATTCTGGGGTTGTTTCTTTCCAACTAATTTGACTCATTACTGTTCCTGCAACACGGGACCGTGCCAAAAAGCGGGAGACTGTCAGAGCTCTTTAAAGCATCAGCTCCCTCCCTGCATGGCCAGAATGCCTGGAAGGCTGTCAGAGCTGCTGGAAAAAAAACATTATAGATGGTCACACTTAATTTCTTTTCTCTTTTTTTAAAGGCACGCTTTATACTGAGTCCTGGTATTTTTTCAGCAAAGTAGGAAATAGTTTTTCATCTTGTTTGCCTAATGGATTGGATGTGAAAAATATTTCTCTGGCAACTGAACACCCTGAGAGTTGTTTGACTTGTCACGACATTATGTATCGGCCCCTGCGGCCCCCTGCCCCTGAAGCCGCCGCGCTTCCACTCTCCTGTTGCTGTTTACGGTGGGACACACTGTAATTTATGGCGAGGCTGTGTGTGACCTTGCATGTGTCTGCTCGAGCGACCCGCAGCTCCCTTCCCCGCACAAGCCCCGCTTTACATTCATATGATTAATTTAGTGCTCCCAAAAGGACAAGGAACCACGTGGATTGGATGTGGGGAGGGGAAAAAAAGAAAATAATAATAATCCAGGGCCTAAAGGAGAAATACACACTGAGATTTTTGTTCCTTTTTGACCAGTATTTCCCTGTTGTTTACGGCCTCGCACCGCCAGATGACTGCTTTTATCAGCGCAGAGACATCGTCTGCGCCCACGGAGCCAGAGGTTTCAGCCTTCGCCTTCTCGGCACGCGGCGGCGGGTCAGCCGGACCGGTGGCCACGGCTGCGCTCCAGCCGCACTGCCCACCCACCCGGGCACCCACCCAGGCGCTGCACTGAACCTTTTTAAATTTTCTTTTATTTTGTTTAAGTGGAAACAAGCTCACACCGCAGCCTTGTGATTGGCTCTTGGCTAAATTGCAGCTTCAGGCTCAGTTGGCTGAATTTGGGCTTGCTGGATTTTTTATTGCAATCTGTTCACTTATTTCCCTTCCCAGTACCGATTGGAAGCAAAACTCCTGTAAAGCTGCAGTCAGGCTGCGCCCATGCTGGGGGACGCCGGCAAAGGCTTGCTGGGAACAGCACAGGGTGTGTGTGGGGGGTGCCCCCTCCACATTTCCTATTTAGCTGGCTGACCAAGATGGATATCTGTATCCTTTTTAATGGGAAAAGGCAAAATAAATAAATAAAATCTCGTTCAGGAGAGGAAAGGTTGGATGGAGCTGTTCTGCTTGCAACGTGCCGTGACCGCACGGCTGCGAGCTGCAGCCCTACGGGCAGCACGGCCGGGCAGCCAAACACAGCCCCAAATAAATAATCCTGCAAGGAAGGGAAGCTGTCAGGTAGGTTAGGCCCCAAGTCTGAGCTGCATTAGGAGCTGGCAGGAGCGCCCTGCAAATAAATCATCTGGATGAGAGGTATTTTTAAATAGAAGTTGTCCTTCCTGCTTGGCTTTGCAACCTTTATTTTGTGCTACCAACGGGAGCTGAAGCCTGCATGCTTTAGTGCTTTTCTGGCTGATGGAGGGGAACCGGCAGAGCCAAGGGGGACGCTGCTGGGGACAGTGGGTCCCCCAGACAGACCATCACCTGTGGGCTGGGGACACTGTGTGGTCCCCAGCCAGTGACAGCTGGGTTCTGACCGGCCAGGCAAAGCCCAGCGTCTTAGGGTGGCCAAGCCAGCTGTCCTGCCCCAGCTCCATCACCCTCCCTGATGTCAGACAGGAGGATTTATATGTATTTTGAGTTCATTTTTATAGCCAGCACCTGTGAGGCCAGTGTCAGGCAGGGATAATTGAGGGGGCCACGCCGCGGGGGACTGGGATGGTGGCGTTGGGCACAGAGAGCTAGTCTGGGGGAATGGGGAAACTGAGGCACGGCATCCCCTCTGCACCTGGGAGCGGTGCTTGGGTCTGGGACCAGGCAGAGGGCTGGGATAGTGGCTTGTGGCCACTTTTGGAGCTGGGGCAGGAGCCATAGCTCTCACAGCCCTGTGGGGGGACACGCTGAATCGGGTGCTTTCAGCGCGGCACAGCTGGTGCGGGCTGCAGGG